GGTATGCTGACACGAAACAAGAATCAAAGCCGTATGAGTTTCAGTAACTAATGTAAAAAGACTGGGGCATGTTCAAGAAATGAGTTGATTATTATACAACACCTGGATTTACCAGTATAACTCAAAGTCCAGACAACAGTTGTTTGCTTCTGTTCACTCAGCAGTAATTGGGGGATCTGGTTGTAAATTGATTGACAGATTAAGTTCCAGGAAAAACTAGTGGGATAAGGTGTAAGATGACCTGTGAGAAGGAAAACATTAAGTCTGCCAACAAGATTCAAAAGTTGTTGTCTACTGTACTGACCTGTGTCTTAAAATCAAAAAACTATTATTCTATAATGATACATACACTGTAGAATGATACACAAGAGAAGTACATAGGTACAGTACTACAACCACTTGATTCATGGTGTGGAGTAGAGGGAATGTTGATGAACATAATTACAAGTCTTGCAACATTTGAAACCATGAGCAAGGTAGAAGCCTTTTGATCCCAAAGTGGCAATACTCCTTTGATACCAATTGGAGGTGGGGCTAAGAGCCTGTTGTTGAAGGGATGGGAACAATCAGGAGAAATTGCCAAGCCACCATGGCTATATAATACTTTGAATGTATAAGGATTTGGGATGGGATGGGGGTAAGGAATGGTGCCCAACCACTTTGACTGTCAGGGATTGAACGCTGACCTGCATGAAGTGAGACAGTCACTCGACCATCCAGCCCAAGGGGTTGGGAAAGCCTGTTGAGAGTGCAGGAGGAAAAAGTGAGCACATAGCTTCCAGTGGCAGAGGTCATTGTATCTCTGGCATGGTGATAAGAGAAATGGTAATTTTTAGTTCACCAACCTGAATGAGTTGAAGTAAGAGTGGAAGGAATGTGGGGGGTAGTTCTTCCATTATAGCACTATTGATTGGCATCAATGCACTGTTATTTTGCAATGTGTGTGTGTGTGTGTGAGAAACATTATACAACCTCATCAACATGTTCTGTGCGATTGATTCTGCATCCTTGATCAGCATTGTAACCCTATTGAATATGTATTTTATTACACATTTTTTTTTAATTCCCCCATTCAATCATCGCCCCTCCTCCCCCCCCCTATACCAACTGGTCACCAGCCCATCTTCTGCTCTTAACCCCTTCATTCACCATATACACCACCATTCATCCATAACCCTTTCTACCCTCCTGTAGATCCTCTAATCCGCACACACACACACACACACATCCTCCAATCCAATAATCCAATCTTCCTGCTGGTCTGAGATTTCCATAATACTGTACTCCTGTTACATCATATCTTGCTCCAAGTACTAATTTATTACATTTTAAATGTTAACTTTGTTAAATTTAAATTCACCTCACTATTTATCGAGTCTTAATGGACTTTTATGAGTGGGGAGGTATAATGGGGGAAGGTTAGTTAAATGGGGGACCAGAGAAATGCATGTGTAATTAGGCATGCTAAAGAATGACAGGGTTGCAAAATGTTGCACTTACAATGCAGATCAATAATGTAGCAATATAAAACAATTATGCCATGTTACAGAACTAGCCCCACACTCATTCCATACACTCTATAATATATTCTCAGGAGTTGAAAAGGATTTACTCTGTAAACCCCAGTCCCCGACTTACGATGAAGTTGCTGTTCTAAGGTGTTCCCCCCCCCACACACACACACAGACACACACCCTTGTACATTCTCTGGAACACCCACAGCTCCACTCCCACTTAAATTTAGAAGAGTAATGCTATTTGGGAGGGGGGGGGGGAAGAGACCAAATATGTTGTTCTGGAACAAAAGTGTTTACTTTGCTCAGGTCCAATCTTTATGCTCTGTCAACATTCCCTTTACTGTATGGTGTGTATTGACAGAGTCCTACAAAGAAAAAGAAGCACAGCACCATTATACACGCTTCACTGACTGTGTGCATTACTGAAATGTACTGTTGGGGTGATTAATGAGGTGAAGCACTTTGTTGACAATATAAAAATAGATTAAAGAAAAGCTGCCTAAATGGCACTCAAACCATCCCCAAAAAACTTATACAAAAAGTTAAATATGAATACCATGTGAAAAATAACCATATTAGCATTGTTCCTCTCTGTATTAGGCTTCGAACTTTCTCAACCCATCACTTAAGATAAAGTACAGTAGTGACCTTTATGATTTGAAATATAAATTTGGGTGATGAGTTTGGAGAGATGGATGTGAATTTAATATATTAATTTGCATTTTTAGCATTATAAATGAGGTTAAGATTTATAGTGCAGTGTAAGTTACATCATTTTCTGTAATCATCATTCTTAAATACAAAGCTATAATTGTTACTTAACCCATTTTTTATGATACCTGTTGACCAGAACACACACTAGAAGGTGGATGGACGACGACGTTTCGGTCCATCCTGGACCATTCTCAAGTCGATTGTGATGAGGGAAGGAGATGAAGGCAATAAATAGGCAAGAGAGAGGTGAGGAGCAAGGCAAAAGGTATGAAAGGTAAGGTGTAGTAGAGGGAATAGTAGTAGGAATAAGAACTGCAGAAGGCCCATTGACCCATACGAGGCAGCTCCTATTTGATGGTCCAGGGCGGACCGAAACGTCCCTTCACCTTCTAGTGTGTGGTCTGGTCAACATACTTCAGCCACGTTATTGTGACTCATCGTCTGCAACTGATACCTGTATGTAAGAGCAGTTAAAATGCTATCATACCACAGCAATACGATACAAGGTAATGTGTCGCATGTATTGCAGACTTGAGATACAAATGTGAGAGGAGGGGGGGGAGGAGAGTGGGAGTGGGAGAAATTACATGAGGAGGGAACTAAAGGAGGAAGTGTGTGATGAGGAGAAGGTTGTGAGGAAGAGGCACTAGCATGAGCGAGGCATGGAGAACCACACCCATGCTTCAGAGCACATTAGAGGGAAGACAACATTAGAGACTGAAATATGCCTAAACAATAATAAATGGTTAGGACTATATTAGCCAAACAGATCAAGATAACATGATTAGTGCAGCTGAAAATGTACGGTGAGGAAGCAGAGAGCATCAGGTGAGAAAACAGCAAATAATTGATGTGCAGAAGCTTGTGAGGTGGAGGCTGGCATGAACTCCAAGTAGAAAGGCTGGTCTAGTTGTCAAGCTCAGTGCTGCAATATTGCCAACTTAATGGAATTGTACATACTTATATGAACTGGTTATCATGTACTACACGGAAACAAATTAATATGAAGCTTTACACTTTGAAACTGATTAATAACCAAGGAACAATACAAACACAAATTCAACCCCAAAATAAAAATGGCATTGATAAACACACATCAAAATAATTATGGAATGTGCAGTATGTGATATGAAGACAAGTGCATGATAATCTGGTTAATTTTGACAATGAAATAAGAGAAGCAGAATTAGGCATACTCGGATGAGAAGACTACTAGATCCGCAATGTGTTTATGTCCCTAAACCATCACACAGTGTGTGTAATGTGCACTGTGTTGGCTACCCTGAGTATTGGTCAGGAGCATTGTGCTTACTATCTTGAGCATTGTATATGAGCACTTTCTGCTAGCTATCCAGAGTATTGGTCAGGAGCACTTCTGGCTTTCCTGAGCATTGTGCATGAGCACTGTGTTAGCTACCCTGAGTATTGGTCAGGAGGACTGTGCTGGCTATCCAGAAATTTTTTATGCCAACAACAGTGGCGACAACTCTTCCTAATTCTACACTGAATGTATTAAAGTGAGGCAATAATGCTAGTGCTATCATTATAAATTGGCATCTCTACTAAAAGGAGTATAATGAGTCTAATGTGTCAATAACTAAATTATATTAAAAAGGGCATGTTAGTTCATCGTCCTCTACAATGCTGATGGTGCATACTCTGAGGAAAAGTGCTAAGTGTTAAGGAAATCCCACTGACAACACAGACACGAGGAACCTGCCATTACTGACGAGTAAAATGCATGCACCAGGGAGCCTGCCTTTACTGACCAGTAAAAATGTTGCTCTCAGTTTAGTTCACAAAGTACCAACACTCAGAGTATTGCCAACTCTTGCACTGAGAAAAAATTAATAGATTTCCTCACAAAAACAAAAAGCAGGTGTTCCCTATCACGCACCCATCAGCACAATATATTACTATTTTCCATGAGCGAATATTTAATTTTAGGTGACACATGCTTGTTCTCTCATCATTCTTTAGTGTTGAGATGTGGTCCATTAGAGTGAAAGGTGAGGTAGTATGTCGTGAGGAACATGAGCTTCCCACAACATACCCTGTGTATGTTAACAACATGAGTAATTTTTAATCTTGAGTGCAGAGGAAGCACGAGTCAACTGTGGCAACAGTTGGCTGTTGTGTGAATATCAGTGAACTGGAGTGAGATTATCTGTAAACTTTGTTGACTGTCAACTAGAGTGTGAATATCAACTAGAGTAAGAATATCAGTCAACTGGGATGAGAATATCTGTCAACTATGATGAGAATATCAGTGAACTGTAGTAAGAATATCAGGCAACTGGGATGAGAATATATAACGGTTGAGAATATCTGTCAACTGAAGAAAGAATGTGAATCAACTGCGGTAAAGAAATTATTACACGGAAGGGAACATAAAATTATTGGGGTATATTTGAGAATATATATACCGTACCTTAATTGATATTAGTGAAAGGTTGTGAGAATATGAATACAATATACGTTAGTGAGAACATGAGTGTACCTCGGTGAGAACATGGGTGTACCTCGGTGAGAACATGGGTGTACCTCAGTGAGAACATGGGTGTACCTCGGTGAGAACATGGGTGTACCTCAGTGAGAACATGTGTGTACCTCGGTGAGAACATGGGTGTACCTCGGTGAGAACATGAGTGTACCTCGGTGAGAACATGAGTGTACCTCGGTGAGAACATGAGTGTACCTTGGTGAGAACATGAGTGTACCTCGGTGAGAACATGAGTGTACCTCGGTGAGAACATGAGTGTACCCTACCCTGCAACTGTCGGTTGATAATGGCTGTTATGCTCCCCGACTCCTCCCCTTTCTTGACCACCAGGAGCGGCTTGCTCTCGCTGTCATCTGAGAGGTTGGCAACACAGTGACCATTGCCCATGCCTGACAGACTCTCGTTGACCTGGGGACCGACAAGGTGAGGTCAGGTCACGGTTCTTAAAACCTCTTGTAAGGCAAGTTTTGTGGGGAGGGGAGGGAGACTGCACGACAATATGCGATGGATCTTTCTTTCTTTTTAATTTCTGAAGCAATTTCAATTAATCAAAACTGAATTAGCGATAAGAATAACATTATATCCAAAATTACGATAGGTATTGCATCCCAATGACTAAAGACAATTATTATTTACATAAGAATTAGCTATAGTTACTTTTTCAAGACCAATAACAATTAAATTTAGTGACTAGAGTATTTAGCTAACTGGCTAAATCATGGCTGTGTTGAATGATGAATCACTGCATGATTCATTTACTCAAAAGGGCACTACACATCCAAAACATAAAACTGCAATCAACTTAACATTCCAGTAACCAAAAAGAGTGTAAATAAGGTGGTGAGAGAAGACAAGGGTGAGAGTAGAGGGCCTAGAGCAGAGGAGAGGGAGCGGAGAGAGGCGTCGGCTGTCCCACTGTCCCATAACAGGCTCCGTAGCTCCCTCCAACTAGTCAGTCCCTGCATAATACACACACACACACACACACACATACACTAGCCAATTACAAGTAACAAATGCAATAGTTTAAAGGTGTTGCAAAGGAAGAGCTCTCGTGAGTCCAGCACAGGTAAAGTTCAGATTCTGTTGGTCAGTCCTGTTTGTTTTAATCTAAGTATTTTCTATCATTATATCACCTGCCACAATGCCTAATTTTGTATACTATATACTATATACATTGTATATATTAAACAAATTATGAAAATTAAAACATTTAACGGAGGACTGAAGTTTATTGTGCTTTTCCCGCGAGAACACAAGTGCTTGATGGATGCATTCTGAGCTTAGAGACTGTGCAATACTGTGTCATCTAATAATGGACTGTGCAATACTGTGTCATCCAATAATGGACTGTGCAATACTGTGTCATCCAATAATGGATTGTGCAATACTGTGTCATCCAATAATGGATTGTGCAATACTGTGTCATCCAATAATGGACTGTATGGCAAAGGCAGTGTTGCACAGTCCATTCCTGTGCAATATTGCCAGTTTTACACAGTACTGTACTGTGCAACACTATCACTATCTGTACTGTGTGACACTGCCTACCAGTGTCACACAGTAATGTATAATAACTGCTGAAATACAGTCTTTGGGACAAGGTACTACCTCAAGATACTGACTGACCTTAAACAATGATAGAGATTAAAAAAATTAAAAAAATTGGCAGGTTATATGCACAATTAAAACATCTCAAGAATTTAACCTTTCTTCCTTCTGTTACTACAGTATAGTGTAGCATGCACGAGCTCCCTGAAGGATAGAGACACAATACAAAGGCGAGTCAAGGTAGAAAGTACAGCTCAAATTTATACAGTATTCAGTAAGGGTAAGCCAGAGTTGCCAATCAGCAAGACAATGTTATCATTATTAACTGTTGATAGTGAGGTATTACCCAAGCAGAAATGTAATATGACACAATGAACATTACAGTACTGTCTTGGTAGAAATAATCACTGTCTCCGCAGAGACTGTCACTCTTAATAGTAAGTCTGGAAAATATATCATAATATCACACAAACTATTTTTCATGCTGGAGTTGGGTGCAGAGGCGAGGTGTATGAGTCTGTTGAGTCACTCGGCACCAGGTTTCCCCCAGTACACAATCCCTCAATCATTTGGATAATTTATACATTTACAAGGAAATCACAATAATGTGATCTATCAATGAGAAAGTCAATTGGAGAAATGCAGGGATTCGAACCAAATTCTTTCTAATTTATACATTGTGATAGACATACTTATACACACCTGCAAGAAAACTATGACTAATCTTCCAGCTAAAAGAAATTGAACGTCTCAATCAATAAGTGAAATATTTAGCATTAACTGCCACAAAGCAACCAGAAGTGGAGTCTGAACCATGTATTATGTTTACTATAACATGGTTTACTTGGTACATTAACTGTTTCTTTTTTCCTTTCTTAAGACTTCTACAAGTTTGTCTTCATTCACATCCTGATCTACAAGTAAGGACCTGTTTATACATCTATGGTAAAAATAACTATAATAGTTAATAACTACAAATGATAACCAATGTAGAGCATAACTACCAGTGACTTCAATGACAACATACACGAGGCTCATCTCAATGATCGACTGATTCAGCTGAGTTTTGGCCTCAGCATAGCAACAAGTTGATTAAATCATGTTAACTGCTTTTAAAGGCTGTTAGTCTCCTCCAAAACGAACAGGCATTCTTACAGAATTACAAAGCCAGCAACATACTAGAGGGAAACAGTTAGTAAGGACAACATTATGACATGTATGACCCCCTCTCGGGATGGGAACATGGATTACACTTACACTACGGCCAAGGTAGTGTAAGTGTTTTTGGATGTATTTAGGGAGAGTGTTTTGTCAGGAGTGTCCAGTATGAGTGCATACTGCAGGAAGGGTGAAATGTGTATAGTGTGGATGTTGTGAGATGTGTATAGTGGATGTTGTGGGATGTGAGCAACATGATCACTAGAGTCAGGTGTGTGTGTGTGTGTACCAGTAGTCGACCTACTGGAAGGTCCTGCTGGGGTGCAGGAGAGCTGTCAGCTGCTTATCACACCAGGGAGAAAACACTTTTGTCATTTAGTAACTGGTTAAAAATGACAAACTTGAAAAGTTTACGCAATGAAACACTACTGCCTAAGTTAATATGGCTTGCTGAGGTAATGTGAAATGTGCTACCTTGCTTAGAAGCAAGCATGCAAGTCTGACCAGGGCAAATACCAAGAGGAGAGTCTAACAAAATATAACTGTTAAATATAATAATTGTATTCTTGTTACAGATAATGCTAGCTTGCTTGTGACTTAAAATGAATGGGATGGGTAAGTGGTAAGAAGGGGGGGGGGGAGGAATATCATCTTTAAAACCACTGAATTTATTGAAATTTGCATGAACTGGATATGCTCATGTTCTTAATGGCTATATATATCAAACATAATAAAACTATTTCAAAATTCTTAACAGTTCAGAGATCTGGAAGACAACATATTTGGTAATTATGTGAAGTCAAAATTGCTTGACATTTAATTTAAGGGTGGAAGTACTTTTTCCTTTACTTTTCACATGAAGTACTTTTTTTGTGACGTACATGTCTTTGTTCCTGTTTCAACTGTGGTGGGTATGATCTACAAGTAAACAAGAGCTCACAGCAATATCCATGTTCAGAAGTGGTCATATTGAACCATTTCTTTAGGGTGGGTACTCTCTTTTTGCCTTCCTCTATTTGATCTTCCTCTTACTTTCAATAACTTTAAATTTGTTATATTATAAAAAGTGGGTAATATTTGTATTTCCGTTGATCAATGAAAATAATAGTCGTTTGTATATCATATTCACAGTATGAACTGGGTATTCCAATTAATGTCAGTATTGTTCTTCTATTTAAAGATTTATCATTACCTCATTATACCTTACAGCTTAATTTGTTGGGTCTCTTGACACTTGGTATGCCTCTGGCTGTTGGCTTACGCCATATAGGGTGAAGGTGTAGGTGACTGTTGGCTTACGCCATATAGGGTGAAGGTGTAGGTGACTGTTGGCTTACGCCATATAGGGTGAAGGTGTAGGTGACTGTTGGCTTACGCCATATAGGGTGAAGGTGTAGGTGACTGTTGTTGTAGGCAAGCACAGTACTGCAGCAGAGGCTTACGCCATACAGGGTGAAGGTGTAGGTGACTGTGGTTGTAGGCAAGCACAGTACTGCAGCAGAGGCGTGACTCGACCTGGCCATAGAGGCGGGAGACACTAGCACATGCTGGTGTCCTCTCCTCTCACACCAGCCCTCAAGACGTGAGTGTTAGAGCAAGACTCGGCTGTGGCTGGTGTTAGTCATATGTGGGCAAGTACAAGTTATGTGCACTTTCCTGGCTGCCTCCTCACACACCTTAATCCCTTCATCATTACTCGCCTTGGATACTCACATACTCGATGACTTTAGTTACATATTTACACATTACTCTGCATTTGCTAATGAATAATCATCACTAGCAAGTCGTCATGTTTTGTGTGTATAGAGTAAGAGTTAGAACAAAGTTAACTAGTGGGAGGACAGGAAGACTGTTGGGGTGTTATGGGAGGAGGGTGGAGGGAGGCAGTCATGAAGGCACTACTGGAGGTCGGGGGGGCTACATGCCTCCAGCTCCACCTCGCTTGGTGTCTGCCCTCCTGCCTCTGGCAACTGTCAAGAGATAGTAATATATAAAATATATAAAATGATATATATGCTTTGTGCCTTAAACCCTTACTGGTGGCCAGGCTATGGCTGGCAGCTGTTGACTGTTGTCCACTCTACACCTATGGGGCTACACTCCCACTACACCTACGGGACTACACTTCAGCACAATGACATAACTCCCAGAACAGCAAACTAATTTCTTACAAGACAATATGAAATCCTTTTACTAACAAATATAGTTTTGACTGACGAAAGTCAGGACTAGAAGGTGAGTAGAACACACCACCAGAGGTTGCTGCTCTTATACCTTAAATAACCCAACCGTAGACCTCACGAGGAGTGTCTGTACTAGGTATAGTGTTTTTATATATTGTGACAGTGTCAGACCACGAAGGTAGAACTGAAACAGGAATTTCCTTAAGTACTTCTGTATTTAGTAATACATCTTCGGAAGGATCCTTCTGATGATGTATTATTAAATACGGAAGTACTTAAGGAAATTCCTGTTTCAATTCTTCCTTCGTGGTCTGACATTGTCATATTTTTCATCACGTGTTAATTTTCGCGATTTACACACTTATATATTGTGTATATATTATAAGTTCCCATATTCAAATGATGATTCTTCGTTGAATGAGAGAGAGAGAGAGAGAGAGAGAGAGAGAGAGAGAGAGATAGGTGGTGGTGATATAAGGAAACTGCTGGACTACCTACCAGAAGCTTGCTTAACCAGACCTCTCATCACCACTGGTTATCATGATGATGATAACCAGTAAGGATGGTTACCCCAAGCCTGAAGTCTTACTAAGGCTTGGGGTAGATAACTCTAACATCAAAGACAGACAGCAGATAGTAGATAGCATCAAAGATAACCCACCAAATGTGTCCACTCAGATATGTTTGTGTACCAAGAGAAAAAATTATACAAAAAAGTTACAAATTATATATGATGTTTTCATAGTGGTAAATAATTTGTTTAGAGCCACGAGGCATGCACAACATGTATTGATTGGGGATGGCACTGAACCCAACACTGGTCATGTGTGGGTGGCACCACCACCACCTTTCATACCCATCCACCAAGTGGGCCTAACTGCAGGTGACACTACACACACTATATGTAAGCGTGGGTGGGTGTGTGGTGGCACACACCACGCCAAGACCACACACACCACACCAAGACCCATATACCTCCCCGAGACCACACACACCACGCCAAGACCACACACCTCACCAAGACCTCACACCAAGACTAGAGCTTCCTATGCTAATGGAATAATAAAACAAAGAAAAACATAATAGAAATGGCCAATTAATAATTTTGGAAATAAGCAGAGAGCAAGTTTAGGACAATTACTGCATTAGTATGTTTCCTATAGTTTGGTATTGCAATATACATTGATAAAGTTGGTTAAGGCAGATATTGAAAACATACGCGTGGTCAACAGTGTGCAACTCATCAGTGTCAAGGTCAACAGTGTGCAACTCATCAGTGTCAAGGTCAACAGTGTGCAACTCATCAGTGTCAAGGTCAACAGTGTGCAACTCATCAGTGTCAAGGTCAACAGTGCCGGAGTCAACGGTGATCGAAGTCCAAACTGCATGTTGTCAACATTGTCCAAAGTCAAAGAAGACTCTGACTTTGGACAGTATGAGAAATTTTCTATGTATGTACTGGTGGAAGTTCTCTGACTGGGGCTATAATAGACTAATAACACTTACACTCTTACCTTCACACACACACACACACACACACACACACACACACACACACACACACACACACACACACACACCTATTTCAATTCAAAAGGTGACACCCCTAGTGATAATACCTGCATCAGAGAAGCTCCAGGATATTTCACCTAGGTAACTACACACACACACGCTACAAGAAGTCTCGTCCTGGCGAAAGTCACTCCTCAGCGTAACAAAATCATGGTTGTAAACATTGGGTCGAGGGATACAACATGGAAGGCGGCCGGAACAATGTGTACGCCACCAAGAAGGTGGCATGAGAGGTGTGTGGAGCATCACAAGAAACAAGAGACGGGTGACCCAGAGGCGCCAAGGAGGACTGGCGGTGAAGGCAGGCAGTCGTCAAGCCAAAGACGATGGTTGAAGGAGGGTGAAGGGTATTTAACATGAATTAAAATGGGTTGGAAAATTATTACTTCATAAGGGGGTTAATTCTAAATAGGAAAGAGAAGGATTTGTATAGCAAACCAAGTGTGGACCACTGAGAAAAGAAAAAACAGAAAACTGCATACAGTACTCGTACATACAGGATATGTACACAGTATATATATACACACACAATGTATATACAGAAGTGGATATACAGTGTATATATACACACACACACGGTATACATATTATGAACATGATATACACACAGGATATAAACACAATACACACATTATATATATATATATATATATATATATATATATATATATATATATATATATATATATATATATATATATATATATATATTTATATTTTAATGGGTGTATTAAAAATAACTAAGACTGGCAAGCCCTATAATCTTCCTAATCTTCTGCTAGAAAAATGTCAACTCATTCCATGTTGAGCAGCCACAAAGGCACATATGCAAAAATCTCCATGATGACTACATCGGGTCTGCCTGTGTCTATCATCTAGCGAGCTCTAATTTAACTCTAGAATTGTCTAGGAAAACTTAAAACAAGGCAGGCAATATTTTCCTCGGCAAGAGGCTGAAACCAAGTGAAGCTCGTCAGCCATGGTTGCTAAGCGCGTCAGCCATGGTTGCTAAGCGCGTCAGCCATGGTTGCTAAGCGCGTCAGCCATGGTTGCTAAGCGCGTCAGCCATGGTTGCTAAGCGCGTCAGCCATGGTTGCTAAGCGCGTCAGCCATGGTTGCTAAGCTCGTCAGCCATGGTTGCTAAGCGCGTCAGCCATGGTTGCTAAGCGCGTCAGCCATGGTTGCTAAGCGCGTCAGCCATGGTTGCTAAGCGCGTCAGCCATGGTTGCTAAGCGCGTCAGCCATGGTTGCTAAGCTCGTCAGCCATGGTTGCTAAGCGCGTCAGCCATGGTTGCTAAGCGCGTCAGCCATGGTTGCTAAGCGCGTCAGCCATGGTTGCTAAGCGCGTCAGCCATGGTTGCTAAGCTCATCATCCATGGTTGCTAAGCGCGTCATCCATGGTTGCTAAGCGCGTCAGCCATGGTTGCTAAGCGCGTCAGCCATGGTTGCTAAGCGCGTCAGCCATGGTTGCTAAGCGCGTCAGCCATGGCTGCTAAGCGCGTCATCCATGGTTGCTAAGCACGCCAGCCACCGTTGCTAGTCCACATGCGGCACAAGTTTGCCTCCAAAACATCCACTGGCCCCGCCGGCTAAATATCGTACCTCAAAATCCCATTCACGAACCAGCTAGTAATACTCAGACCCTAAGCAAAACCTTAAAAAAAAAGAGGACTAAGAGCATTTCATTTCCAGTGACATACGCATACAGCAGTCGACAGCAGTCCCAAGACACAAACAACAGGCAAGTCCAATCAGGAGGTTTTCACAGTGAGTACATGCACAAATTTGGGATGATGTCTTCAGGGACCACAGGCCCAAAAGCTTTACATTTGACTAGCAAGTTCGAACATACATATTATAATATATATATATATAGGATTCGGGACAGGATACCTGCATAGAGGAGCATCGCATGCAAGGCATTAATGCTAATATGAATGAGTACGATTCTTATCATTACAGTAGATTAAATAGGTTAGGAAATATTCAGATTAACTGCTCAGTTACAGCTGGGGGCTTTATGGCTCTCCATTCCCTCAACACTCATCAGTCCCTTGACGTCATTATAACTCATCATCTCATATTGTTACGCTCGCAACACTTATAATAAAAGATGGTATAAGTCATGGTTGCAGTACAGTCTGCCACTCATAGACTGCAGAAGTGTTACGATATATATAAAAATACAATCCCCCTCTTTGACAAGTTATACCAGTCTCCCCTCTTTAATGAGGCGTAATAATCTCCCTGTTTGACAAGGTAAACTATAACAGCCAGTTTTAAAAGGTATTATATATGAATATTGTGTCTGTTTTAGCCAAGGTTTTATATAAACTTTGTGTCATTACACCACAATACTCTCCTGCTGTGTCGCGAGGCGCTGGGGTCATGTCCTCTTATTCCAGCCTAAGTTTGCCTCCTCGCCATGCCCAGGGGCTGTGGGGGGGATATTGGTGCCCCTGAAGCTACATAAACACCCCCTATACCCTCCCCCCGAAGTAGCAAGGGGAGTTAGGGACAACAATAGTGAATTTGTTGGCTCCGTTAACCCATTTAAGCAAACAAAATGGGTATTACCAAAGTTACTCGCGTCGTTGTATTTGTTCTGTTAGTGACCACAACGTTAGATCAGTATACAGTATTGTATTTTGTCATATTTCCTCGCCAAGATCTTTCATGACTTGCGTATTACTTGTAATACCATTCAGTGTTAAAAGAATGTTTACAGTTAATATTCATTCAATACATTCATGCTGAATGTTCTACATTTTAACAGTAATTGCATGATCAAACATTTCTTCCAACATTCCATTTCACTTCCATAAGTGTTGTTATCACTCCTAACTATAAATAATTAACCCATTTACCCATCTATTCTTGATTAAATAAAATGATTACTCTTCAATTATTTTTATGATGATGAGCCAAGTGTGTGCCCAAACGGCTGCTTCTCGACATAGAAAATATATTTCTATGTAGAGAAGCAGCCGTTTGGGCACACACTTGGCTCATCTTCATCGCTTCGTGAATCGCGGACCGTGTTGAGAATGGAGTGAGGGTGAGACCACTTCCCGCGCTATTTATGCCACCCAGACTGTCCGCACCGCGCCTTGCGGAACGCGGTGCTCAATTGTCTCTTCCTTCCCCATCAGAAACTCCACCGCCTTTCGTCCTAAAGGCAGTGGCCATATATTGGAATATTTGCCAATTGTGTTGCGCGTGACGCTCTTCATATGCAGGTTCTCCAGGAGAGAATGGTCAAGGTATCCTAACCAGAAGTATTCCTACAGAACCGTCGCCTATAGCACATGATCCAGGGGGGACAATATTATCGCCTGTAGCCCGGAGAGACACCCAGCTCCACCAGGGGACTCACAAGGCTTCTCTCCGGCATAACATTTGCTCTTTTTAACACCAATAATCATAAAAAATATGGTTAAATTACAACATATCAAGCTTTTAGGCCACGTTCTGAGGAGTGTTGAGGGAGGGAAGGGTGTGTCACTGAGGGTGTCTGAGAGTATCTCCCGACAACACGGGCATGACATAAGGTGATTTACCAAGGAGTGAGGCATGAGGAGCATCATGAGGGGTGAGGCCACACTGGCACAAGACAAGGGCGGTGAGGCCACAACACCCACCCACCACCACCACCTCCTGCCTCACCCCGCCGCCCTCCAACACACACAAACAATCCCACTACTAAACCAATAGTCTTCAAACTTGATTTTAATTTTGGCAAGATTCCACTTTAAATAATTCTCAATATAAAGGTCTTGACGAATGTATGTTGAATGGCGGTGTGGCTACATATATATATATATATATATATATATATATATATATATATATATATATATATATATATATATATATATATATATATATACAATACAGAGCGAGCTGGGTAGTGTGTATAGCCTGCGTGGTGAAGGGGGTAGGCCAGGAAGGTCTCCTGCGCCAAGGACCTCTCACACTGGCCGCACAAGCATTACCTTCTTAGGAATGAGTCTCGAGTCAATCATGAGTGTTACTAAGGTGGGTGTCCAGACTACCCTGCTCGCTCAGCATTCCCCCTCGCCCCAGTGACTGGCTACACACGGCAACAGAGAGAGAGAGAGAGGTTAAGAGGAAGAGAGAGAGAGAGACGGGCAGCAGTGCAATAAGATGCTGACTTACTCTTCTAAACTCTGCAATCTGCGGGTATTGGTAAAGAACTGTGGTGAGTCCACCCATCGCCGTAGCCTCACATGGCAGCTTTATTATGTCTCTTCTATACTTGCCTTTATTGTGCTTTATGCCTTTACTTTACTCATTATATATTTCTCACTCTTTTTAACATGGAGTCAATTTTAAAAGAAGCTGTACTTATTTATCTTATTACATCAGAGTATAGAAGAGACCAGATTAAACAAAGGAATTAACTCATAAAACAAAAAATCTTAAAGATCCTAGAGTGAACGTATGATTGAATTATTAGTAAAAATTAGTGAATTAATACATGATTAATGCCAAATAATGCTAAAGATTCTTTCTACTAAAAGCACTAAAATCCTGCCCAGACCAAGTAGTTGATGTTTAAAAAACACACCAAACCTAAGATTATAAAAATTATTAAAAAATAGACTTTTGTTGGGGAATAAAAAGTAATGAAGGCGTTGATGAGATGATGATGATGATAATGATGATAATGAGTGGGTAGGGGAGAGTGATGAAGGCAGGGAGTGCCATCTCATTCACACCAATTGAACACAATTGTCTTACTAGCATCACAAGTGCCACAAGGTTTGGGTTGAGTGATCACACACACACACACATATGACCGTAGCCATAGGGTGTGAGTAGAGTGCCTCACACTACACACCGCCACCAAAGGCCACCTCACCAACCTCACACTACACACACACGCTTCCATTCCATCAACCACAACAATATTTACCGCCCATTTTCAACTCCAAGGGCACAGAGATGAGAAAACTGCATCTTTGTGATCAAAGTCAAATATATTTTCAGTGATGAGAAACTGAAGGATAAACTTGGTTCTGATTTAATTTTTTTACCGTTAACAACGTATTTCGTGTAAGTGGTAGATGGAAGGACTTCTCTCACAAATGAATGGAGTGATCAGACTGATTAAACAAAACTCTGTCATTCAAAATGTGAACTTAAGTATTTGTTGATACACAAAATAGTTCACTTGATTAACAAAATTCAGATTGAAAACAAAACAAGATTCATTAAAGACCAAAAAGCCAAAACAGTTGTGGTTGATTCTCCAATGAATGGAGTACAAAAAAAGTACTCGTACAAAAAAAAAAAAGAGTACCCAAATGTTGCTAGTTGTTAACACCAGCTCTGTCTCAGGCTGCCCAAACGCTTCCCACCACTTACAAAGCTGAAGCTGTACTCTAAGTCAGCGCTGTGGGATCACGGAGCTCTCTCAGCCTCTTCTTAAACTCTCAACATCATCAAACTCTTTTATGGCTCAGTCAGGAAAACATATAATCGTACTCAATTAGCTCAGAAGCCATGGTATATCAAGCCAATATCAAAGACCTCATTTTACCAACAGATTTGCTCTGCTGTGTTTAAAAAGAGAGATTCGGAAAATAGCTGATGTTCAATAATTTGATATTTGAAAATAAATCTACCGAATAACAAAAAGCTTTATCACTGATCTTTTGCACTTGAGCTGTATTATGTATATTTTGAACTTGAGCTTTATCCAAATATTCTTCTACACGACAAGTAGCTATGTGATTTGGTCTCTGTGATGAGAGGACTCGAGTTAAGTGGAAGACGGCAGGGCTCTTGTGTCGCAAATTTGATGGGTTGTGGACGGGGTGCGTAGTGGACGGGGTCGATTGTGGACGGGGTGGGTTGTGGACGGGGTGGGTTGTGGACGGGGTGCGTAGTGGACGGGGTCGATTGTGGACGGGGTGGGTTGTGGACGGGGTGGGTTGTGGACGGGGTGGGTTGTGGACGGGGTGGGTTGTGGACGGGGTGGATTGTGGACAGGGTGGGTAGTGGACGGGGTGGATTGTGGACAGGGTGGGTTGTGGACGGGGTAGGTAGTGGACGGGGTGGGTAGTGGACGGGGTGGATTGTGGACGGGGTGGGTTGTGGACGGGGTGGGTAGTGGACGGGGTGGGTTGTGGACGGGGTAGGTAGTGGACGGGGTGGGTAGTGGACGGGGTGGATTGTGGACAGGGTGGGTTGTGGACGGGGTAGGTAGTGGACGGGGTGGGTAGTGGACGGGGTGGGTAGTGGGTGGTGAGCTGGGTGGGTTGTAGGGCATCTGGGTGGGCAGGGTGGGCTGGGAAGCCTGAATTAGAGCTGATGTTTGGGATACTGTAACTACTTACTCGGCCGCCAGGTGTCTCTCACTACACTTCTTGGATCTAACAGATGTTTAAAACACTTTGAAACTAGCCAGCATAAAACATTATAAATAATTAAATAAAAATATATTACATAGATTACATATATAATTATATACAGCATATATATATATAAATTATATATCAAATCTACATAAGTATATAAAGACACACACACACACATGTATAAACATAAAAACATTTAAAACAAATCACAGCGCAGCTATATCTGGTGTTAACTAACATTTAAGAAAATACATTATAACTCTCTTGAGCTCGTAACCTATGTATACGTATGAACTTTGGAGAACTAACTGGTTGTATATGATGATATAATGCACAACGGGTTACAATGAATTCAAACGTGTATATTGCTAATTATTACTTTAAGCTGACTAGAAAAAGCTAAACTTTCCTCATATGAGTAATATATATATATTGTCTTTATCGTGATTATTAACAAAACCCAAACAATGAGTTGGAAAAAGCCAAATCATAATATTCTGGGGAGAATAAGTTAAGTGGGGTGTAGGGGTTTGTAGGGGAGGGGTGGAGTAGGTCATGTCTCCCCCCCGCCGCCCTCTTCCCATCTCACGCCCCCCTCCCCACCATGTGAGGGGGGGGGGGGGGGTGGGGGTGTCTGTGGGAAAGGATGGATGGGGAAGGCCATGACGCGCCCCCCTCCCACCCCACACCTCCCCAAGGTATGGGGTTTACCTGCATCAGTTTCTTGACGACGTCGCGGCCCAGGATGTGATCGAAGACCGCCTGCAGGAACTGGTCGCCCATAATGGTCAGCTTGAGCTTGTCTCGATGCCAGATGAGGACTCTCGAGTCTTCGATGGCTGTCGCCGACACCTGGAATAACACCAAGGTTTATTTTATGGGCCACTCTCCCTGGGGTCACTCTCCCTGGGCCACTATCCCTGGGGTCACTCTCCCTGGGCCACTCTCCCTGGGGTCACTCTCCCTGGGTCACTCTCCCTGGGGTCACTCTCCCTGGGCCACTCTCCCTGGGCCACTATCCCTGGGGTCACTCTCCATGGGCCACTCTCCCTGGGCCACTATCCCTGGGCCACTCTCCCTGGGTCACTCTCCCTGGGGTCACTCTCCCTGGGCCACTCTCCCTGGGGCCACTCTCCCTGGGGCCACTCTCCCTGGGGCCACTCTCCCTGGGGCCACTCTCCCTGGGGCCACTATCCCTGGGCCACTCTCCCTGGGCCACTCTCCCTGGGGTCACTCTCCCTGGGGCCACTCTCCCTGGGGTCACTCTCCCTGGGGCCACTCTCCCTGGCTATGATAACTATGTATGGTCCCGTTATTATAATTGACGGAGGCCCGGTCCTCGACCAGACCTTTTTTGTTACACACAGCAGCCCATAGCAGCTGTCTAACTCCCAGGTTCCTATTTACTGCTAGGTGAACAGGACATCAGGGTGAAAGAAACTCTAGCCCATTTGTTTCCGCCTCCACCGGGGGCCGTACCTTAGGACTACGAATCCCGAGCGCTACCCATTCAGCTGTCAGGCTACCTCTTATCTTACCATAAGAGCTGGCAAAATATAGAGCGATGTAGAAAAAGAGGCACTAGAAGTTGGTGGAGGGTTGGTGGAGTTGGTGGTGGGACTACCACCCACCACCTCACCTTTGGAGAAGCTCTCCAAATGTACTCACTAGAAAGGAGACGAGAGATACAAAATAATATACACATGGAAGATACTGGAGGGCCAGGTCCCAAATCTACACAGTAAAATAACAACGTACTGGAGTGAACGATATGGAAGAACATGCAGAATAGAACCAGTGAAGAGCAGAGGTGCCATAGGCACAATCAGAGAACACTGTATAAACATCAGAGGTCCACGGTTGTTCAACGTCCTCCCAGCGAGCATCAGAAATATTGCCGGAACAACCGTGGACATCTTCAAGAAAAAACTAGACTGTTTTCTAGAAACAAGTGCCGGACCAACCGGGCTGTGGTGGGTATGTGGGCCTGCGGGCTGCTCCAAGCAACAGCCTGGTGGACCAAACTCACAGACGTCAAGCCTGGCCTCGGGCCGGGCTTGGGGAGTAGAAGAACTCCCAGAACCCCATCAACCAGGTAAGTTCACCTCTAGCCATACGTCTGAAGGTAACTATAAGGTCGGAAGGCATTATCTTTGACGACCAACGGCTGAAAGGCTGGGGTACAAGGACTGAAGGTCGATCCCGCTGGCACAATTATGCGAGCACACAAGCACAGTTCCTTAATTAGTGGGTGGAGGTATAAATAACCTTCTTGTGAGGCATAAGAGGATAACAAGTGTTGGTTAAAGAGCGAGAGTGTGATACTGAGCACCAGGCGGGAGGTGGGTCACCCACCACCACCACCACCACCACCACCTGGGTGGGTCACCCACCACCACCACCACCACCACCACCTGGGTGGGTCACCCACCACCACCACCACCACCACCACCACCACCTGGGTGGGTCACCCACCACCACCACCACCTGGGTGGGTCACCCACCACCACCACCACCACCACCACCACCACCTGGGTGGGTCACCCACCACCACCACCACCACCACCTGGGTGGGTCACCCACCACCACCACCACCACCACCTGGGTGGGTCACCCACCACCATCACCACCACCACCTGGGTGGGTCACCCACCACCACCACCACCACCACCTGGGTGGGTCACCCACCACCACCACCTGCACCAGGGTGGGTCACCCACCACCACCACCACCACCACCTGGGTGGGTCACCCACCACCACCTGGGTGGGTCACCCACCACCACCACCTGCACCTGGGTGGGTCACCCACCACCACCACCACCACCACCAGGGTGGGTCACCCACCACCACCCTCGCCCAGGTGATGGTGGTGGGTGTTTGAGGAAAGGTTGAGTGAGAGGCTGAGAGAGATCTCAGATCTCCGTGATCTCCTTGCCTGCCCTGTCTATTTCCTAGTGTATTTCATATGTAGGGATCATGTCTCCACTATTTTTATAATTTTCAAGTGACACGAGATTTAGCTCTTAACAGTATTCCTCGTGCTGTCAGCTCTGAGATCTCTCTACTGGTGTACCTCTTTCAAGAGGTACACAACAGACAATTTCAAGAGTATGTACAAAACAAAGCAAGTGATGGTACCTGTGTGAGGGAAAGGTGACGGTGAAGACGGAGGAAGAGAAGTAGGTGTGGGAGGAGGAGATGCAGGAGGAAGAAGAGAAGATAAAAGAGGGAGTGAAGCTGCAGCTAGGCAGAGAAGATACAGGAGGAGGTGGAGGAGGGGGAAGAAAAGAAGACATAGAAAGATTACGGACTCACCTGGAAGAACTCGTCGGTGGAGACGCCAAACCACTCCGGAGAGTCCAGGAACTGGTGCTGGGAGACTATGTGCAGCGCCCGACCGTTTTGACTGATCACCAGTCTATGGGAGGGAAGGTATGTCAGTCACCAACACCAGGTATCACCACCTTGACTGTCTCTCTCTCTCTCTCTCTCTCTCTCTCTCTCTCTCTCTCTCTCTCTCTCTCTCTCTCTCTCTCTCTCTCTCTCTCTCTCTCTCTCTCGGATATAATTACGAGTCGCCTTGACAGGGCCACCAGGTCTTCTATAGACCTCGATATTAGGGGATGACATCAAAGAAATACGCAGTAACTACACAACTATTGTAATTCCATACATGACCTCATTAGACACTGCCTCACAGTTCCCTGACAGTTGCCCCAACACAATAGCTGCCTGTGAACTTTGGCCCACATGAACAATCTCTACAGCTCTTGTGGGATAAGGATCCTAGAGGCCTACGGGAGGGAGGGTTGGAGGGAGAGGGGGATACTTCAAGATGCTTTCCCCCTCTCTCTCTCTCTGAAGGATAATTACTGCACCACCTGAGTTGTTCGTTTGCCGAGGGGTGGTGGTAAGGGGTTGTCGAGGACGACGACTAGGAAGTGGAGTCAGATAAGAAGATAATTAGAAATATATATATATATATATATATATATATATATATATATATATATATATATATATATATATATATATATAACTTTAGAACACTTTCCCACCAGGAGACTCGAACCCTAGCCAGCACAGAAGCCTTCCAGCAACTGGCATAACAGGTACGCCTTAACCCGCTCCACCACCCGCTCAGACCCTTAAAAGAGATGGTAATTTCGGAGTATTTAAATACCCCAAAGATCAACACCTCCCAAGAGCACCAGAGCAAGTGAGGGGTCATTTATACGTTAATTTCATCAAGTCCCTGTTAATATGGGAAGACACAGTGTCTCTGCTTAAGGCACAACTCTCCTAAACACGAGATTTAAGTATACAACTTTAGAACACTTTCCCACCAGGAGACTCGAACCCTAGCCAGCACAGAAGCCTTCCAGCAACTGGCATAACAGGTACGCTGGTGGTGGAGCGGGTTAAGGCGTACCTGTTATGCCAGTTGCTGGAAGGCTTCTGTGCTGGCTAGGGTTCGAGTCTCCTGGTGGGAAAGTGTTCTAAAGTTGTATACTTAACTCTCGTGTTTAGGAGAGTTGTGCCTTAAGCAGAGACACTGTGTCTTCCCATATTAACAGGGACTTGATGAAATTAACGTATAAATGACCCCTCACTTGCTCTGGTGCTCTTGGGAGGTGTTGATCTTTGGGGTATTTAAATACTCCGAAATTACCATCTCTTTTAAGGGTCTGAGCGGGTGGTGGAGCGGGTTAAGGCGTACCTGTTATGCCAGTTGCTGGAAGGCTTCTGTGCTGGCTAGGGTTCGAGTCTCCTGGTGGGAAAGTGTTCTAAAGTTGTATACTTAACTCTCGTGTTTAGGAGAGTTGTGCCATATATATATATATAACTCTGTTTCGTCAGCAATGTGGCATCTTCAGTAGTACACTCTGAAGAAGTGACACAGCTATACTGAGCTGTGTTAGTTCTCCTTATAAGCTCAGTATATCTCTGTCAGTTCTGTTATAGCTGATAGACTATAGAAACATCTACATTATATATATAACTGCGCACACACACACACACACACACACACACACACACACACACACACACACACACACACACACACACACACACACACAATAAAGTGAAACAACAGTGACCAGGGAAGTGTGAGAGCATCAAACACGTGTGTGCAGGGACGAGCACACCTGTACAGGGACGAACACCCCCCCCCTCCCCTAGGTGTACCCACCACACCAGGAGCGCCATAAAAGCCTGGGAAGCTGGCGGGTGCACCACGTGACTCCACCAACTTACACACTGTGCCCTGATTAATCCACGTGAATTTCAGACTATTGTGACTAGTTACGTCAGTGGCCGCCGCCCCGCACACACTAAGCTGGTTGGGTAACGTGATATAAACACCAGCTTAATTTTCTTTTATGGGGTGCTCGTGGCGTAGTGGGCTGCAGCAGCGTGTGTTTGTGTACCGTTCTCTATACCTATGTTCCTGCCCCGCCTTCTTCTCTCTCATATACATATATATAATTCGCAAGAAGAGCTAGGCAGGGAAATGACGACTGGCCGACAACAGGAAATTGGATCTGTTGAACGTTACCTGTTGCTACAGACCCCTCCCAACCCACCCAGCCTCGCCCACCTCCCAACCCACCCAGCCTCGCCCACCTGCAGATCAACAACCAGCCAACCTGTCTAACTCGGCTCCACTCCACCCAAACGAGCCTCACCCCGCCCTAACACGTTCGATCCTGCCTCGCCCCTCCACCAACCATTCCACCACCCAGCATAACGGACCTGCACTCCATCTCCGTACACTCCACCCTCTTTCACTCTGTATAACATCGTTGTACTTAGTTGTGTTGGAACGTCTCTTTCCACACCGCACATGGCGAACTTGCGGGGGCCGCCAGCACCCTCGTATGTAGGGACGCTCCCCTGTATTAAACTTTCATACAACTCAGAGGAAATCCGTTCAGCTGATCACTTCACGTCTCCTCGTATTGAAGCTCTTGGCATTAGCCTCGCATCACAAGCATTCTTCTCTTCTACCGCTACTTCCAAGGCTCCAGCTAAGAAGTATGGGTGTGTTCCTTGTCTAAATGTGCTCTAATAATATTCCAATTGCAGCACCTACTTTGGTACTGTCTATCGCTCGTCCAAGGTTTCAATACTTCGCTGTCTCGTCGTCACATCCTCGTCTCGTGGAATGGACCGTCAACTTTCTCCAGACAGACATCTATCATTCAAAAACCGTCCGTGGAAAATCTTCTTGAATTGCGACTCATTTGTTTTCGAATGGGTAATTTTTTATTTTGCATTATATTATATATTATATATATATATATATATATATATATATATATATATATATATATATATATATATATATATATATATATATATATATATATATATATATATATATATATATATAATCACTAAGAACTATGACCTGACCAGGACTCGAACCTGCATAGCCAGAGATCACCCAGCAGTGTACACAATACTGAAACCACCTCACTAACGATCGCCACGTTGTTGTTTTAGATTCAGCTACTGGGAGCAAAAGTTGCAAATAGCACGGGCTATGGCGAGCCCGCAGTGGACTTACCTGGCACAGGAGCGGGGCTGTAACTGGCGAATTACACCAGTTCTGGCGACCGCCACTTACAAATCCTTATATATATAGTAATAGGCGATCGTTGGTGCGGTGGTTTCAGCACTGTGTACACCGTTGGGTCATCTCTAACTATGCAGGTTCGAATCCTGTTCGGGTCATATAGGTCTTAGTGATTTGTAGCTTAGGGATCATTCAAGGTTTCTTAATACTGCTGTCAATAACTACCATCATTAGTGATGGTAGTTATTGACTACCATCACTAATGGTAGTCAATAACCTAACCTATACCTATTATAGGTTAGGTAATAATTGTAATTACGAAGCTATAAGATGCTTATCTTAAGCTACTAACAAGGTTAGGTAAGGTCGGTGTTTTCTATGAATCTTTTTAAGGGTATCTATTATGTTAAGTATGTCACCTATGCACATATTTAATAAGTAAATATTGACTTATTAAATTTGCGAGAACGGGTTGCACTAATATTACCACCATCACTACCACCATTACCTATAACCACCACTCCCAGAACTAACCCTTCACCACCACCACCATCTTGGCATGAAGGTTGTGACCAGACTGTGGGAGGACACGTGGGTGAGTGTGTAGAGTGGGAGAGAGGTTGGGACGCACCTGCCAGACAGGACGAGGGAGAGGGAGTCGACCCTGGTGATCTTCTCCTGAGCGTAGATCTCCTGGAACTTGACGTACCGGATCAGCTTCATGCAGTTGATGACTCGCTTGAACTGGTGTCGAGAGACCTTCAGGGGCTGGAACAGGCTCTTGTATACCTGCGGGAGAGGCAGGCACGCCATTAGTGCGGGCTGAGAGGGCGCCAGCTCCTAGGTAGAGGAGATGGAGGAAGGTGGAGAGGGAGGGAGAGAAAGAGAGAAAGAGAAAGAGAAAGAGAGAGAGAGAGAGAGAGAGAGAGAGAGAGAGAGAGAGAGAGAGAGAGAGAGAGAGAGAGAGAGAGAGAGAGAGAGAGACAGAGACAGAGAGAGAGAGAGAGACAGGGAGGGACCACAGATGACCACAAGCCCACCTCCACCAAACATAAATACACCCCCACACTAAACCATATAAAGATTTCAACCTCTAGAGTTTGGCTTCAGGAACTCGTAACTTTTATAATGAAAGTCTTATAGAGAATCAGTCTTAAGTTATTACAAAGACACGGAAATGGGAGACAGATGAAGGGACAGATATCATACACACACACACTTTAAATACATTATCACTTCCTAGACATGAGATTCGTTTCATTAACCGCACTTGAAGAACTGTTATAGGAGGAGACGTCTAACCGGATCAACAACAGCTGGTGAGAGGTCACCCCCAGGTGGCACATACCCAGAATACATAAGCTGGGATCATACCCAGAACGTCAGGGTATAACCAGGCAGGTAAGGTCAGGGAAGAAGTACTAGCAGGTACTGGTCAAGCAGGTACTGGTCAAGCAGGTCAATGGGGGGTCGCAGCACCTTTAAGTCCCGCGAGGTCAACCCTACATCACACACACTAGGGGGACGAGGCCAGCTAATAACTGCCTATTATCTGAATGTCACCACGAGGACGCTGCGTCGAGTATTTGGGGCGTGTTGGGGGCCACAGGCCAGGGGGAGGGGGATGGGGGGAAGGGGGAAGGGGGAGGGGGATGGGGGGAAGGGGAAAGGGGGGGGGGGGAGGGGAAGGGGGAAAGGGGGAGGGGGGAGAGAAGAGGAGAATAGCGCGAGTTTAAAGGGGAGAGAGTGTGGCTCGCGGCGACCAAGACGATCTGCTCTGTACATCAACTTAGGTGTTGTCACACAAGGGTGTCTGCACACACACACACACACACACACACACGGGGGGGGTCTGGTAACTGAGTGGACAGCGCGCAGGACTCGTAATTCTGTGGCCCGGGTTCGATTCCCGGACCTGGCAGAAACAAATGGGCAGACTTTCTTTCAACCCTGATGCCCCTGTTACCTAGCAGTAAATAGGTACCTGGGAGTTAGACAGCTGCTACGGAGCTGCTTCTTGTGTGTGTGACAGCTGTCTAACTCCCAGGTATCTATTTACTGCTAGGTAACAGAGGCATTTAGGGTGAAAGAAACTTTGCCCATTTGTTTCTGCCAGGTCCGGGAATCGAACTCGGGCCACAGAATTACGAGTCATGCCCGCTGTCCACTCAGTTACCAGACCACCCCGTGTGTGTGTGTGTGTGTGTGTGTGTGTGTGTGTGTGTGTGTGTGTGTGTGTGTGTGTGTGTGTGTGTGTGTGTGTGTGTGATCACTAGGCCCATCACTACTGACCATCCCCAGGATGAAGCCCCCAGAAACTAACCCCCCAAAATACCTATTTACTACTAAGTGAACAGCAGCACGAGGTGAAAGGAAACGCTGGCAATTTATTTCTGCTCCGGCCAAGATTTACTCCCGGGACCTGCGGCTGAGAAGCGCAATCGTTAACCTCTTCACCACGAAGCCCACTTCACCACCACCCCCTCCCTCCCTCCCTTGTACGATCGATGAAGCATTTGCGATTGTTTCAAGGCTGATAATAGAGAGGTGAGGCTGCCTTTCTAGCAGCTGGAATGTCTTGAAGACAAGAGGCAGTAGAGCCTAGCTGTCGGTATATATTTCTCCAAGACACAGTACTAACCACAACAGCTAGAAAGAATATATTAATAGATAACAATTTGCAACACACTGTAATGGGTTTCAATGGCAACAAACCCATAGTTTGCCTGGGCGCTGATGGCACTATGTACAGAAATGTGGCAGCCAGGAATACCTTGCCATATATACGAGAGCAATTGAGTTAATTATGACAACGAGAGGTTTGGCATCATTGGTGTGATGTTGTGCATACAAGAGTTGGCAATGTGTCCTGGGACCTCTGTGGGTGTTGTGGGACCTCTGTGGGTGTTCTGGGACCTCTGTGGGTGTTCTGGGACCTCTGTAGGTGTTGTGGGGCCTCTGTAGGTGTTGTGGGACCTCTGTGGGTGTTGTGGGGCCTCTGTAGGTGTTGTGGGACCTCTGTAAGTGTTGTGGGAGCTCTGTAAGTGTTGTGGGACCTCTGTAGGTGTTGTGGGGCCTCTGTAAGTGTTGTGGGAGCTCTGTAAGTGTTGTGGGACCTCTGTAAGTGTTGTGGGAGCTCTGCAAGTGTTGTGGGACCTCTGTAAGTGTTGTGGGAGCTCTGTAAGTGTTGTGGGACCTCTGTAGGTGTTGTGGGGCCTCTGTAAGTGTTGTGGGAGCTCTGTAAGTGTTGTGGGACCTCTGTAGGTGTTGTGGGACCTCTGTAAGTGTTGTGGGAGCTCTGTAAGTGTTGTGGGACCTCTGTAAGTGTTGTGCACGCACGCACGCACACACACACACAAACACACACACACACACACACACACACACACACACACACACACACACACACACACACACACACACACACACCTCGTAGCCTGGTAAGGGGCCTCGTAGCCTGGTGGATAGCGCGCAGGACTCGTAATTCTGTGGCGCGGGTTCGATTCCCGCACGAGGCAGAAACAAATGGGCAAAGTTTCTTTCACCCTGAATGCCCCTGTTACCTAGCAGTAAATAGGTACCTGGGAGTTAGTCAGCTGTAACGGGCTGCTTCCTGGGGTATGTGTGGTGTGAAAAAAAAGAAAAAAGTAGTTAGTAAACAGTTGATTGACATTTGAGAGGCGGGCCGAAAGAGCAAAGCTCAACCCCCGCAAACACAACTAGGTGAATACACACACAAGCTACGAGGAAAGGCTACGGGAGCTAAACCTCACGTCCCTGGAAAACAGAAGAGTAAGGGGAGACATGATAACCACCTATAAAATTCTCAGGGGAATTGACAGGGTGGACAAAGACAAACTCTTTAGCACGAGTGGAACACGAACAAGGGGACACAGGTGGAAACTGAGTACCCAAATGAGCCACAGAGACGTTAGAAACAAAAATTCAGTGTCAGAGTAGTTAGTAAATGGAATGCATTAGGCAGTGATGTGGTGGAGGCTGACTCCATACACAGTTTCAAATGTAGATATGATAAAGAGCCCAGTAGGCTCCAGAATCTGTACACCAGTTGATTGACAGTTGAGAGGCGGGACCAAAGAGGCAGAGCTCAACCCCCGCAAGCACAACTAGGAGAGTACACACCTGTAATAAACAAATGAACAGCACCGTCTTATGGTAGGTTTGGAAGCGTGGGGGAGGGGGGGGAGAGATTAAGGTGGTAGGTGCCGTGGGTAAATACTGGCACTCACAACAGGTGCAGCATTACCAGGTAATTCCCATAATTGTTCCCTATTATACTAATGACCCTTGGGAACAGTAGTTCCCCGATAGCTAGCTGCTCACACCCTGTGGTAACACGGATTGGCTGGTTTGGCGTGTTCAGAATAATCATTTTGCAACCCTGAGCCGAGGTATTGGACAAAATTAGTATTGATTAGAGAGGCATTGGCACATCCCGCCAAACACACATTGAAGCTACGACGTTGGTACAACGCTCGAACAAGTTTTAACCCCTCCTAACCAGTTGTAACAACCAATATAGGAAGTTGTAACAACGTTCTAATACGTCATAAACCCGTTAAGCCAAGATGTAACAACTTTATTACAAGTTGTAACAAGCGGAAAATAGAGACAGTAACGGTTTGTGTTTCCAAGGATATATCAGGTATTTATCGAGCCGAAATGATGTTAACTAACAAGCGACTGCAGGCGTGATAGTGAAGAGGCGGAAGTAGCAGTGACAACATTAGAAGCAGAATTATAAATACTAATAATTTAAGGAAGGTTCAAAACACGGGATAATAAAGGCGAACACTGCTCGCGAGAAGTATGGGTGTAAACTCTACGGACACCGCCACCCACATTTCACTATCAGCCCACTTCACTAACGTTTAAACTCTTTATTATCTTCTACTGACCCACATTATAGTAACATATTTCACTAACTTAACGAAACTGTATTAATGTTAACCCAGTTTCGCTCATGTTAACTTACATCTCAACCACATTAAAACTCATGTCAATAGTTTTAAACTGACACTTTCCTAACGTTAATTTACAAGTTATTATCGTTTAATATAAATATAAAAACAATTATTTTATTAACAAAAATGTCTCATTACCATTATAATTAGAATCCATCTGTCTATCACACATCTATCAAAGGAGCGAGCAAGCAAGGCAGGACCAAGTAGCTTTGACTTGGTGAATCAAAGTTGGAAAACTTGACTTGGTGAATCAAAGTCAGGCGCGTTACTGACCTGAGAAGCAGGTAGGGGAGAGGGGGGAGTTGGGTAAATACTATTTATAACCCCAATTCCCACAGTGTTACCGAGGGTCCACGTCAGATACAGCACCCCTGGAGGTACATAGAGGACTTGTGATGCAAGGAAACACTGTGCAACAAATAGAGATCAACAGTCGTCTGGGTGAAAGAAACAGCTGGGAAAGTGAATGATTTCCAGCCCTCTTGGGTCATGCCACCTTGAAGGTGGTCTCTCTCTCTCTCTCTCTCTCTCTCTCTCTCTCTCTCTCTCTCTCTCTCTCTCTCTCTCTCTCTCTTCTCTCTCTCTCCGAGTTAGAGAGAGAGAGAGAGAGATATGGAGAAGATAACGGAGAGCTGACAAAAGGGAAGAGAAGAGGCTAACTAATGGTGGAGAAGACAAGGATCGAGGAGGAAGGTTCGCAGGAGAGTGTCAGGAGAGGCGTTAATCCCTCACAATGGGAAGGAAACGCAAGAGAGCAGGAAAGAGGGTGGGAGGGATTTAGAGAGGTAGGGAGAGAGAGAG